CACCAATTGGTTCCCGGTTTAGCGGTCGTTATTCTCCTTTCACTAACGTGTTTAAACCCGTGAAGCATTTTGCGGACGGACAGACATACAAACATACATACATACATACATACCGACAAACCGACACACAGTTGCTGCTTTATAGAATAGAAGGATTTATTACCTCATCCCAAGCTCCTGTGAAGTTTTATAGCGATACATTAGACGAATCCCGCTTGCTGAGATGCTCTCACTTCAAACATCTTGATAACATGCGTTAAGGTGGACAAAAGGCTTCACAGCAAGCGGCGTAATTGGTGAAGATGTCGTGAGATTATTGGAAGAAGCTATCAAAAGAGATGGGGTAAGTAGACCTAGCGTTGGATTAGTAGTGCGGGTCAGAACAAAATTTGCTTCCGAACATTGCCGGTCACACAAGACAGTGAATGTTTGTCACGTAGTACTCCATGCAATGCTAACACCGCCATTCTTTCTCAGAATTGAGTTCCTCTTATGGCCTTTTCGTGCTTGTTGTTGAGTAATATGTTTTCCGCGACAATTTGCAATGGAGTTTCCTCTTGACATTCATTATTTCAGCGGATCAAAGTTGAAGTGGTGGCAGTGCTTAATGATACCGTAGGAACAATAGTGGCAGGTGCCTACGAAATGAAAGGAAAATGCGATTTGGGAGTGATTATAGGTAGGCTCATAAACAATTGAGGATTCGTCCTTCAGGAATTTTCTCAAGATGAAAAAGAGATCTGATCATTAGACCAAGATCGACATACTCTTGAAGAACGTAGTCTTGTCTCTTATCCCTCAATAAACATTATGAATTTTAAGCAGATATTGGTTCGACAGAACACAGTTAGGAGCCAAATGAAACATCCCAGTGATTATGCATGATGTCTCGACGAGGGAGAAATATTCGTGCAGACATTGACAAAGAAGTTAATATAGGTTTCCTATTTCTGGATCTACCAAAGTATCAGACGACAGCAAGCAGTTTCATTGTTTACTATCTGCTCGAGTACATTTTTGCTATGCAGCGATCACATGTGAACGAAACCAGCAGGCTGCCATTTTTTCTGAGCACTGCAACAAAGTTTGTCCACCTGACCCAATATCAGCATAAATTACGAGCTTTGAAGAATTGCTTCAGCGCACGGCTGACAATGCTTTTGCTTACAATGCGCTGTTTGAGCTCTCGACATCACTCTCGATAATTATCGACAACCACAACAAAAAGAGAAAAATGACCTTAAGGCTCGGTTAGGTCATATTCCTACTGATGCTTGTTAGGCGTTCTCGGCTCCTCTGTGCAGAATCATTTCTGTTGTTGGACCTTATGCTCTTCTATTATTGCAGCTAAGCACATTCTCTCTCCCTATTCGCAATATGATCGGTTCATTTTTTTCTACAGGAACAGGAACAAATGCTTCGTACATGGAGAATACGGAAAGCAATCACTCATGGATTAAAAAAGCAAGTGAGCCATACCACCACAAGCAGGTACCAGACGGAATTTTGGTGAAATTACTCAAATATCCACGAATGAAAGGGCTCACTGAAATCCTCGTGAATTGGCGAGCTAAAAGTGTTCACAGAAGAGAGACGAAATTCACTTTGCGCTCTCTTATCCTGAAACCCTTAATAAAGGGTTTCAGGATAAGAGAGCGAATTGTTAAACACATCAGCTGAAAACTTATCACAATTGAAGGTTTGAGTTTTCAGATGATTATCGACACCGAATGGGGAGGTTTCGGTGATAGAGGTGAAGCGGAGTATATACGAACGCAGTACGACAAGATTGTCGATAAGCGATCCGATCATCCAGGGAACTACTGGTGAGTTTCTCTGCAGCTCTCTCTCTCTCACCTAATGGAAGACTGTTGTTTTATAAAGTGCTAGCTCCATATAGTCGTTACACGGAGCGGAAGCGCACGCACAGAAACAGCAATATGAAAGCAAATCCATTTGCAAATAGCAGGATAATTCTTTTTTTCATGATTCTGATGGAAAAACACATGGGTTTTTTACTGGAATATATATGTATGTCATATGCATAGACCAGTTGTACCGGCACCTCACACCTGGCTCTCATTCTATGACCAAGTTGAATAGAAATAAGACTCCATGTCTACAAGGCATTTCATCGGATCATTTTTATCTCTTGCTTTTCATTTTTAATCCAAAACCTTTAACTTTCAGTTTCGATAAGCTGGTTGCAGGCAAGTGTATGGGAGAGGTTGTGCGGCTTGTGCTGGAGAAACTCTGTACACTCAAAGTTAGCTGTTCACTTATCCATATGATTCGAGAGATTATTCAGCCTGGCTAAATGTTACTTGTTAGAGGTTCACATGGAATTAAGGTGCTCTTCAATGGGGAACGCTCAAACCTCTTGTATACGGTCGGCTCATTCCCGACGAAATACATTTCTGAAATCCTTCGGTAAGTTCCACTTGAACTCTTTATTAGATTTCCGTAGATTTCCACACACTAATCACGGGTAATCATTCTGTGAAATTAGGACGCATCTTAAGGGAAGCAAATGCAAACTCCAGATGCTGATGTATCAGGAGCTGGCTACCTACAACACATTAGCAAAAAGCGTTCATTTTTTACCAAAGTGATGGTCTCATGCAATACGTTGGATGCGACCAATAGCTACAGTTTGACCATGGACAGAAGCATTTTTAAATCTCATGTTGACATAAACGTACAGAGATGACTGGGGAACATACTCAAACACAAAGCAAATCATGGACGAGTTGGGCATCGAGGACTACAGCTTCTCCGACATTCTACTTTTCCGCGAAGTATGTCTGGTCGTATCACGACGAAGTGCAAATCTTATTGCTGCAGGTCAGTCGCTTCTCTTCACGTCAATTAAATTTTCCCCGGTTGTTGGGCCTATGGGGAGCCTTCGTAAATACAAGGATAGAAAAGCATTCCGCTCTCGAAGTGCACCCAGAAAGTTAGTTTGAGCAGAGTGGCGGGATAATTAAATACATTGAACCTTAGCTTGGCACTGATTCGATTGTTGAATCTGCGGAGACGTACGTGTGATGGGTCTCGGTGCGCCTTGGCTATTTGTTTCGCAGGCAGGGTCGATTCTACCAACCTAAAGGTCGTGACAGAGAACCGGCCAGGGAATCGTTCTTCTAGCTGCCAACGGACGGTATCTCTTTAGGAAACATGGTGTGTGGTTTTCATGCTGTGAGGAATCGCGCAGGACTCTCTTGTAGGGAGGACCATGGTGATGTGGACGTGCACCTTCTCTAGTCTGATCCAGTAGCTGTGCATGATGGCTCTGGCCCCGATGTAGATAGGGTGGAAGGAGGTGTGCTTTCATCCTGTCCGCAGATATCTATTGAAAGTCCTGCTACCAATATCCCATTCTTTCATTCTTTCCTTTCAACCTGTTTGACGCTTTACCCTTTTGTGCGGACAGTGGTTCATTTTTTTTTCCTGTAGTATCTCGTCTTATACTACGGCCATGCTATAGCCAATTGCACGCTTCCCCTGTGGGAACTCTCAAAATGGGAAGTAAGGTCGCTCGAAGTGGCGCAGGGCACACAGTAGCGTGTTAGACGTCTGTAACAATTTTATGTTCTCGCATTCTTGCATGCCGATTGCTTTTGTCGCTGCTCAATCGGTATTTACGGTCGATGCCGGAAAATGACTCGTCCTTGCAATCGATGCCAGCACATTACAAAATATCACCCGGTTGTTTTTGAGCACTGGGCGTGTTCCGGAAGAAAGTAGAGGAGCTCTCGACCTGGAATATAGAAATCGGTAACATTCACATTTAGTTATTTGAAGCTTAATTTCTGATGAATTGTCTGTTAATACTTACGCTACACTAATAAGCCAAGTAACAGAGACCATAGATTCGCGTTTTTGAATAACCCATGCGCTTATGCTACAAAATTGAGCTGGCGAAAAGCGGATCTGCTTCTTTTTTTGAATTGCCAGCACTCGCTTCTGCTGCAGGAAAATGGACTTGTTAATTCGTGTTCGGACATAGCACATCGCATATCTTTGTGCTACTGCATATATTCTATTAGTGTGGTCCGGATAAGTTTCCTCAGCGTTTTTGTGACCTATTTTTTTACTTCACTGCGGATTTTAAAAAATTCATTTTTGGCCTGCCTTTCAGTAGCCCACATCCTGCTTAGGTGTTGCATTGCCCGCTAAAGCTGATGCAGACATAATTGCGTTTTCACTTTGCTCTTTAATAAACCCATCCATAGTTTTTCAAAGATTTTAGTTATTTCCAGCATAAGCTTGAAAAGAGCACTTGTGCCGGGCGATCGTTTTTTGTGTGGTGCGACTATAAATTGAGAGGGCAATCCGCAAGTCCGAACAGCTCGCGAAGACGAATTAACCAGGGGTGGGGGGGCCCAATGGAGTGCCTAGCAGAAAGGCACTGTGTGTTCGGCCTCCTCCAATGGCTCAATAAAAATTTGCGTTCTATGAGATTTCAGCCTTGAAGGATGACCTCATAGCGGTCGACCTAAAGCAATATCTGACGAGGATTTTAGGGGATTTTGGAGGCTGACCCATCCCAAACAGTTCGAGAGATAGCAGAAGAGCTAGGCGTTGGCAAATCCACTGTTGCAGATGGTTGGAACGCATTGGGAAGGTGAAAAAACTCGACAATTGGGTGCCCAGTGAGCGGCAGGAATCGGCACGTCTCGAGGTTTCTTCTGCATTGCTTTTGCGCAGCAGTGTGAAACGACCTGTTTCTCGGGCCGAAATTGTCACCTGTTGGTATGAAAAAATGGGTCATGTATGATAACAGGAGACGTTCCGGACAGTAATGGATTTCGACGAACCACCGAGGTAAGTTTTCAAAGCCGAACCCTCACGAAAAAAGATTCTGGTCACGGCTTGGTGGTCATCGGCTGGTGTGATCCACTATAACTTTTTATCACCAGGCCAAACCATCACAGCAGAGTCCTACTGTGAAGAAATCGACGAATGTACCGAAAATAATCTGCTGTCAGCGCTGCCAGCCAACACTGTGTGTGAAAACAAAGGGTCCGGGTCACATTCCATTTGCCATGACAACGCCCCGCCCACACGGTCTTCACGTAAATCCTATCCATAATTGACGATTTAGGGGCGTGGAAGTTTTCTACCTCAACCGCCATATTCTTCAGACCTTTCGCCAACGACTATCACCTTTTCTAACATATTCAGAGCTCCCTTGCTGGAAATACTTCATCAATCAGGACCAGGCCCGAGCCTCAGGTGGGGGGAATTCTGTGAATTTCTGAAGACACCCGTTTTTCACCTTTTGATGGATTTTCTTCGACTGCTGTCACATTGGGCAAAACGTGTGCTGAAATCGACATGGTGCCGCATGTTTCGATTAAAGTCCGGACATGTAGATATTCAAGAAAGTTACGATCGTTTAAAAGTGAAACAACAAAACGCTGAGTAGAAACTTTCCGGCATAATAATACATAACGTCCATTTAAGGGGAAGGCCGGTATTCTATGTTAAAAGAATCGGCATTATCTCGTAGAGGTAAACTGAATGATCGCTACCATCCGTGTATGGTGTTCACAAAGCAATTTGCATGAAGGAATTTTCAGGGGGAACCCATTCGCAGGGGTCTTGTATAGCTGTTGCTGAGCAATTCTTTTTTTCTGTTTTTTCACATGTATGTCTTACAGTTCAAAGCGTGCAGACCGTGATCGGACGAGTGGCACGTGTCACGCACTGGCGATACCGCCATTGTGACTCGACATGAAGCCGAAAGAAACGGAAACAAGCAGAGAAAACAAGGAGCGTCGCAGGTCAATGAATCAATCGAGCAGAGAAAAAGCTGCACGACGAAAAGCGTCGTCACCTCGAAACATATGAACACGACTACAGGTGAAAAGGTTCACAGAAGCCGTCCCATATGGTGGACGAACTGTCCTATAATATAGATGACGTTGAGAGTAGTGTAGCATTCTGATGTGGAGCAGCTGAATTATTCAACATTCTTTTCTCGTTGCTGACGCATATATTGGGCTTTCGGGAAAGTCCTTATCGAGGTAGACTGAAACTCAAAATTTTCATGAATCATACTGTTACTGAAGAACCAGTTTGGCTGACGCGCACTACTGCGCGCATGGTCAAACCTATGGTACTGACCACTGACAGGATTTCTGTGCTGACCACTAACACTTGGCCTAATTCCCACGTCTTGGAATACGGCCCATTTCATCATATTTCTCCTTTTTAATGAACGTTTGCCAATGTCTGGTGCTTATCACATTTATAAAAACACCACCATTCGCTGGAAATAGGACGGATTAGCGGTTGAAAGAATTTCGGTGGTAACAATATCGAAATCTTAGTGAAAGCTCCTTTATCCTAGCGTCCTAGCTTTCACGTGCCAGTCTGCTGGTGGCTCTTATCATTCCTCACTGACACACATCTTTAGACTTTTACTTTCGGGTGAAACCCTAGAGTTTAGCGGTCGAATCAATTTCGACTATATCGCTGAGGAATAGAAAACATCTTGGCTCACTAAACCTTTGCCCATTGATTTGGAAGCTTCCTCTCTGACCCACCGTTCCCATCCTGCCTCCTATATCACTGCTTGCAACCAACGTCCTACCGTCGCTGCGACGCACGTTATGAAGTTGGTGACCATCCCTTTCTAGGGCCCTTTATGGTATCTTATCAGCTGTTATCAATTCCTGCCACCCACCAATAATGTTCCCATTCTCTGCCACACCTTACTTTTTGGAACCAAAGTGCTACAGTTGTTGTGACCCGCGTTATGAAAATGGTGACCTTCCCCTTCCAAGACCCGCTACGGTATCTTATCAGCTCTTATCACTTCCTGCCACCCACCAATAATGTTCCCATCCTGTCCCCCATCTTACTTCTTGGAACCAACGCTCTACCGTTGCTGTGACGCGCCTTATGAATTTGGTAACACTCCCTTTAAAGACCGCTATCGTATCTTATCAGCTGTTATCACTTCCTGTCACCCACCAATAGTGTTCCTGTCCCACCTCCTACATCACTTATCAATTTGAACTCTCTCGGCCGATTTGAAATTAATGAAGTTCCCGACACCGGCAAAACAAACACTAGCAAACATACACACATCGCACTCACACCAACAGACAAACTTAGCGGATTATATACAGTAGGATATCCCGAATTTGGATTCGAAGAAAATTTCCTCTAGTGTTAGTTATACAGCGGATTATATACAGTAGGATATCCCGAATTTGGATTCGAAGAAAATTTCCTCTAGTGTTAGTTATACTTCTTCAGATGGTGTAATATTTGTCGTCCAAAGTATTCTGCAAAGATAAATGGTAGCCTGCACAACTGTGCCAGCATTGATGTCTGTGAGGTGAGAGCGGAAGGAAGTCCCAACCAAGCTTTATAAGCTTTCTCGATGGCCGAAGCTGGTGTCATGCAGCGGCTTTGTTTTGGTGGGAAGTCATATGTAGAACTAACTGGAAAGGCACAAGGCGGGGCGGTTCAGGCCGGTTCTATTATTGCTTCCGTCAATTGACAACCGTATTCTCCAGAGCTGACTATTTGGCTATATGACCCAATTCATAATGTATAATATACATCCAGTGCCAGTAACGAAGGAGTATAACTCCCTTCAGCTGTGCAATGGTTCTTCATGTAGTTCACTACGATCAAATCAGATTACCTTTTCGCTCTAGAGGGTGGATCATTACTCATCCTGGGATATTACACGCTCGGAGAAGAGTCGATTCTCACCAGGTTTGGGCACAATCGCTGATAGAAAATGCGATCTAAGCTCGCTGAGCGCTTATCTCGATCTGAATATCCAAGATGCATACCAAAGCCAGTCCACATCTAGTGGCCGTATAAAGTTTAGTTCACTACAATAAGCATCCATTCATCTAGATACTTTGATTTTCTTGTGGTGCGAATTTCGAAAGTTTCGATTCGGTTATACAATATTTAGCAACAAAGAGCTTACTGG